TTCTCAACCCCTTTCTTCATAGCCACGTTGCCGGAGGCCTCGGAGACCACCCAATGGGAGTCCCCAACCCCCTGGGCGATTCCCATTTCGTCGACGTTGTACCAGCGTGCTGGCATGAGGTTAACCATATCAGGGGCGTCACACCAATCAAAAAAAATGTTGATATTTGCCGCTATAGCACCATTCACTCGGTTGTAGTCGATAACACGAGACTTCATTATCTTGACTTCCGGGTTTCGAGACAGGAACTTGGATGCCCAATTTTTCCCTAATTCTTGAGCATCCCCGGTGGCATGGAGCATCCGCTGGGCCATGAGACGGAACTTAGAGACCGCCGGATGTCAGATGCAAGCGAGTTCAGATTATCCAGGTTGTCAAGTGTCTTCTGTTTTTTGTGCTTCTTCTTCTCTGCTTCTTCAGCGTACAGAGATTGATCATCTGTCTTCTTGGTGGGTCAGATGCCCTGTGCGTCTCTGCCCCACTGGAGATCTTCCGGTGTCTATTTCCGGCTCCCATTCAACACACCCCCCCAGGAACAATTCCTTCCATTGGGGTTGTTCCTAAGCATTTGGTCTGGTTCTCTGATGATTCCTGTGATAGGTACACATCACCACATTCTCCACCGGGCAATAGATCTTCCATATGTTGAAGATCTTCATCCAAGAGCTCTTTGGTTTATTGTTGCTGTATCCGATCTCTTATATCCACGAGTCCTAATTGCCTTGTGAATTTTCTGAATGCTGCGGCAGGGAGTACTTTCGTCAAACCATCTGCCATCATATCCCCAGTAGGAACGTATTCCACCTTGATCCTCTTCCGTTGAGCTTCTTGTCGTAGCCAATGATTGTGAATATCAACGTGACGCAGCTTGGTCTGTAGTTTGGCGATGTCTTTGTTGACGAGGCCGATCGTCTGCTTATTATCGCAGTGTATGATGATTCGAGAGCTATCAAGCCAGACTCCAAGTTCGCGGATTAGGCGGGAGACGAACATGGCTTCTTTAGCAGCCTGCGCAAGGGACAATAACTCCGCTTCCGTGGTGGAAGTAGTCACTGTAGCTTGCTTGTTCGCTCGCCAACCAATAATCCCTCTGAACAGTCTCATAACGTATGCTTGTGAACTCTTTTGATCGATAGAATTGTCGGCAAAGGAGGCGTCGCTAGCTACTTCGAACGTGTCTGACCCGCCGTATTGTAAGGAAAGATGTTGAGTTCGAGAGAGGTATCGAATAAGTCGATCTGCTTCGGAATAGTGCTCTGGGCTAGGATTTGTGTTGAATCGTGATAGTCAAGAAGCCGCAAAGGCTACGTCTGGGCGTGTAATCACAGCAGCATACAGAATAGATCCAATCTTCTTCTGATATCTGTGGATAGATTTTAGCGTGGCTATTCCGTCAAAGGGGAGAAGTTCTTCGTTCTTCATGGGAATATCGTCTCTGCCTGTCCAAGCCTTCTCAGCTAGTCGGGATATCTTCTCCGCATACGATGACTGAGATAATCAGAGGAGCCGTCTCTTCTGGTCTTGGATGATCTCGATGCCAAGGAACCACTGAAGATCATCTCCTCCAGTAAGCTGGTAGGTCATCTTAAGCCGACTGATCAGATGATTGGCTGTAGCTTCTTTCTCCTTCTTGTACGCAACCACTATGTTGTCCACATAGAAGAATATGAGAACTCCATTTCTTGTGAAGCAACATGGCTCATGAGGCAGGGGAGTATACCCGATGCTTGTGAGGGTCTTGGTCAGCTCTTTCTGCCACAAGAGAGGGGATTCTCGCAACCCATAGAGGGCTTTCAAGAGACGAAGCAATACTCTTGGCTTCCGGTACCCTGGGGGCATCTTTATATATATCTCCAGGTCTAGTTTGGCGTTGACGAATGCATTTACAGCATCATACTGTATCAGTTCCAGGTCGAAGCGAGCTGCTATAGCCATTAGTGTTCTGAAGGAACGGCCGGCAAGTGTAGACGCATAGGTGTTCTCGGTCTGTCCGGTGGGCTGCTGGTCCTCTCGTACCACAAGACGGGCTTTGCATTTCAGGAACCAGCCGTGCTTATCGAACTTGTAGACGTATACCCACATGCAGTCTAACACCTGTTTGCCGTTAGCTGTGCTTGTCTTGACTTCTTTCCATGAGCTCATCTCATGGTGGCTCTGGAGATGCATTCGCTCTGTACTTCTGAACCCCTGACCCATCAAGTGGTCTCGTAGATCCTTGTGAGTTCTCGGTAGTGATAGGAGCTCGCTCCGGTGGATTCTAGCTCCACTAGCAAGTTTTCTTTTGAGCCTCTTAAGGTCTGAAGATCCCTGGGGCAGTCCAATTTGTCCAGTTTGTGTGCTATCAGGGTGACGTTTCGGACGGTTTACCATCCGGGCTTTCTTAGCCTTGCTCACCGGCTCACCGTGCTTCACCTCCGCGGCGCTTAGGCGTCTTGTATTGAACGTGGCCTCCCAACAGCTCAAGCGTGGTGTCACTCCGATGTAGGACGACTCTGTGGTCATCCCGGACAACACAGGGGCCGCGCTCATAGCTGCAGATCTTGTCCCTGTACTGCCAGCTTCTATGATAGCTGCAGTAAAAAGTGAAGCTGCAGGAGGAGGAGTGTGTTTGGGCGTCAGATACGGTATAAAGAAAGCGTTTGTGTAGAGTTGATCAGGCTCACACGCTTCTCCAGAGTCCTCGTCAGAGGGTCCATGTACGTCCGAATTCACCACATCATCGCTCCCTTCTACTTGACCGCGCTTATCACTTTCTGCAATGAAGGGACTGACGTCCTCATCCTCTTCGCTGATAGCGGGACCAGTTTCAAGACTGGAAGCACCAGGTACTTCCACGTCATGTAGTAGCTTGACTAGCTCTTCTTCAGATACGTGAAGGAGGTCATCCTTCAAATCTTGGAGGTCTCCGCTGAACATTTGATCTTCGTCGAAGATGACGTCTCGAGTGGCTATCACCTTGTTGGTTAAGGGATTCCATCTTCGGTAGATGTTTGTCGAATTGTAACCGACGAGGTAGCCGATCCAAGCCTTTGGATTAAGCCGCTTCTTCCGCTGCATCTTCAGCTGCGCATCGCTTGTCAAAGCAAATGCTTTGTATCCAAATACTCGGAGGTGTCCCTGCTTGGGCTTTTGGTCTCCTACAAGTCCATCTCTGTATCCCAGGTAAGTGTAGAAACGTTCATAAGGAGTCATCCAGTTATAGATGTACTTAGGGGTACGATTGTATAGGTATACCGCTGTTCGGAAGATCTCAACCCACAGATATGCTGGCAACTTGGCTCCATTTCGCATCGAACGGGCCTTGTCCTTAATCACACCCCCCGAGCGCTCGGCGCCTCCATTCTGGTCTTGTGTGTTAGGCGCTGAGGGTTCCACCTTCATCTTCTTGGTCATGGTGAGAAACTGATACACACAAGGCTTCTGGGTCATGAGCTCGTTGTCGCATTCTATCACCTCCGGCTTGACCTGATTCTGGTGCTCCAAAATCCCGAATAGCAACTAAAAAGTTGCTATAAGCGTATCTGTCTTTCGGTCGCTCAGATAGAAGTCCCAGATATATCCAGACCATTTGTCGGTAACAAGCATGATGCTGTTCAGTCCGTCGCTATCTCTGTCGAGGTCGTGGAAATCGATTGCTAGGCGGACTCCGGGCTTCCCAGGTCTATCCCGGCGTGTACGTCTCCTTTGCTTCTTGGCCTTCCTGCAGGCACATGCGTCATATTTCATGGTTGTGATACGTTCTCCTGCTGAATCTCTAGGCTTTGAGTCCTTGATCTTCACCCCCTGAGAGTGGCCTACAAGGTGATCAAGAGCATCTGGCCCTGGGTGACCTAATCTGAGGTGCCATCGGCGGCTATCGGCAGTGCAAGGCGCCCTCTCGGTCCATGAGTTGTATTTCTTCCTTCGGATAAAGAATGCACGTCTTGTCAAAGACTCAGGCAAATATTCAATCACGTATTGCTCATGCCGATTCGTCAGCTCGCAGAGGATCGAATCATCCTTCCTCCAAAAATAATTATTGCTTCCTTTGTTGTCCCACCAGTACCCTTGGCGCTTGAGAAGTCGGAGTGATACCAGGTTGCATGCAAAGCCTTCGCAGAATGCCACATCGTATAAGCGCATAATTCTTGACCCAGAAGGGCCAGTAACGCATATATCGATATCTCTGTAGCCTAGGATAGGGACTACTGTGTCTCCTACAAATACTGCGTCACCCTGAATCGCCGACCGGAAGTTTAAAAACCTGCTGATCATGTTGAATATGTGTAAGATGGTCCCAGAATCCAGGATTGCTGAGTTCCTCAATGGATATGTGGCAGTACTGAACGCGGCAGCGTCGGCTGTAAGGAAGGCGGCCTTCGTCTGACCCATTGTCCGCACTAGTCATTCGGGCTTGACGGGTGTTGGCTTCCGGTTAATTCTCTTGATCAGTTCTTTGAGGGCAATATCTTCCTTGATTCGCTGGTTGATAACTTTCTGGTATCCTTTATTTGGATGCCAATGTTCTGGTGCCTTCCTGTCAATAACATAATAACACTGGGTTATGTCGTGAAATCCTAGGCACGCCTTGCAGGTAGACCCATCTGGATTCGTTTCTGTGTCGGCTCGTCTTCGCTTGGAGCCTGTTCGAACTCCTCTCGTCCCGCGTCCACGTGGTCTCTCTTGGTTTCCTTTTCGACCCTTCGTTTTGTCTGTTGGGGGCAATGGATCAGAAGTGGTGGAATCAAGCTCTTTTGTGTCTTCTATTGACACATCTTCGTCATATCCGTAGGTAGCTACGAATGCGCCCTTGGCGATCCGTGGTGCTGTTGCTCAGTGATGGTCTTTGGCGTATTCTCGCAGAAGCCCTGCCATCTCTATGTAGCTGATAGAGCCGTCGTCGATTTCCTTCTTGTGCCCCATTCTGAAGCTTGTCGTCCAGTCGCCCATTACTGACGATAATGCATCTATCAGATCTGTGGCCACTGAATTTGAATCGATAGCTTCTGGCACCCCCTTTTTTATAGCATATGCAACGGCAGTTTCCCATTGCGATATCCATGCACCCAGGTCTTTCGGCATCTCGTGAGATGTGTCGTCGCCCGTCGGTATCGGTTTCGAGCCTCCGGCTTCTGACGGGATGTATATACGTCCCCAATGTCCTGGAGATCCTTATACCACTGGTCGATCTTTTTCGTGGCCTTGTAGATTGTTGCTCGGTATGGTTGTTGAATGGTATTCAGCATCCAATCGGTCATAGATTTGACGTTCTTTCGATGTTCTGTGTATTCCCTGCTCTTGTGGGTGTAGTGATTCCAATTCTGGGTATATGCCGATCTCCCAATCTGTGTCATTTCCATGGTATTTGTTGGCGTTCTATTCGGGTCGACCGATTCTTCTTCTCCACCGACGGTTATCGAACTTGATGTTCTCGTTCCTCGGCCGAGCTTCTTCGGGTAATTGGCGTATGAGGGTTCTTCTGGCTTTGTCGGCCAAGTAACCTTGTCTTCTGGATTGATGTAATCCCAGAGGTCAAAGGCTACGGCTTTAGTCTGGTGTTCAGTGTTGAATCGTTTCCAGTCTTCGGGCCGAGAGAAGATAGTGCGATTATTGTTCAGTGTCGTCATATTGGTGATATGTAGATCTAAAAATCGCTTGATCTTTTGTAGGTGTTCTCCTTTCAGAGCAAATGAGACTCTTAATTGTCAGATGCAAGCAAGTTCAGATTATCCAGGTTGTCAAGTGTCTTCTGTTTTTTGTGCTTCTTCTTCTCTGCTTCTTCAGCGTACAGAGATTGATCATCTGTCTTCTTGGTGGGTCAGATGCCCTGTGCGTCTCTGCCCCACTGGAGATCTTCCGGTGTCTATTTCCGGCTCCCATTCAACACCGGAGAATACCCTAGCCGTGCTTGCCCTAGGGCCCAGCTTGCCAGCTTATGTTCGAGATACGGTGAGAGAGCCTGTTGGAGAGCGCTGGTCTCATTCCGCGTTGGGGTGCCAGAGATTCGTCGGTTGACGTACGAGCGACTGATTTGCCATTCGAGGGCTGACGAGCGGACTGGAGCTCCGCGTTGGATGGCCAAAATGGCGGCTTCAGCTTTTATTTGACGGTCATAAAATGACATCATGAGATTCAGCAGTGGATAAGGATTCAAATAGTGTGCTTTGTGAAAAAAAAGATGCAAAAGTGATGGTGTAGATGGTGGATCACCATAATCCTGGTGGTTGGTGAATTACGCGTTTGTGGGTCAGAACGCGCTGGTCCGCGGGGGGGTGGTCCGCAGGGGGGTGGGAGATGTTACAACCTTGCGATGCAATGGCTCTGGGAGGCGTGGCTTGCCCTGTTGAGGGACTGCACCCACGATAAATAAAATCAATCAATCAATCAATCAATCAATCAAGGCCATTATTCTTGAGAGGGTCCTCATGGCCTAGGAGCTGAGACGCGGTGATCATTCCCCCTACAATATGGATGATCAGACCGAGGTGAGAGACCAAGGGGTCCTAGTTCAATTCGCGACTGAGTCACTGACAGGCATCGAGGCGGTCGATTCGCCAGAACAAGATAGGGAGCGTGCGTTGAGGAAGCGCGTGTCAGATACCGAGAAGCGTTCCCCAAGGTCTTCTGTCTATCTATGCGTCGCGAAATTCAAGATTACATTGAGATTGGTACTTGGCATAAGGTTGCCCGCAGGTGCTGGGTTTTTACCAGCGGCGGAACAGGACAACCTTCAATCTTCGAGCCTAGAAGCATCCTGGCCTATATTAGGGGATACTATTAACGTGACTTCTCATGCAAGCGTCAGCCGTTACTTAATTTTTGTGCCTTCAACTCGATACGTGGCGATGCGTACGTCGTTTGCCGGAACTCTGCCGGCGGAGCATCTACCAGCTACATTTGACCGCGAATGCGCTCCTAATAAGAACTTTTTTTTAAATAGATACTATATCCACTCCTCGCCTAACTACTTTCTTCTCTTACGTATGCAGAGTGGAAATGCTTCTCGTAGGCTCGGGACCCTTGCACCTTACCTCACCTTACCCCCACTCTTAAGATCCCACTCAGTCATCAGCGAAAGATCGGAGGCGTCTTTGCCTTATAAAGCTCAGAACTCCACATCAAAGTTCCATTAAGTTCTTAACTAGAACCGTATCCTTCATGGACAGAGGCAAAAATTCAAAAATAGCACAGTCTAACAAGGACAGGGCGGTTGTGACCGGTGACGGATTTGCACGACGACGTCACTGGTTCGTTTGCGTAGGTGGCTACGACCAAAACCCTGAAATGGTCTCAATATAAAACGGATCTCGCACCGGCCATTGGAGATACAGTTTCCTACTCCCTACTTCCAACAACACGAAACGATACTCACCCAACTGTCCACCTAGGCAGCCAATCACAACTTCATACTTGTAAGTGGACATATCCCTTCCAGCCCCCCAATTTCTTAAAGGACTCCCACTCACCTTGATAGCATCTCAACACGAAGAGCCAAGGTCAGAAAAAGAACCGTCAGACATGCAGATTTTTCGAAGTAGCCTGCTCCGATTGGGCCTCATTGGTACACTCGTCGCTCAAGTGTTCGCCCTCGACATCGATTTCCTGAAGGATGACGGATCCTTCATTGAGACTACTTCGATTCGTCCGGGATTCGTTGTGACGAAGCTGCATGTCCCCCACGGGACGACGAAAATCAGGGTCAGAAATATGGCTGCTGGCACATATGTCGCCCAGACCTTAGCTTTGTGGTCGCAGGAAGAGGAGGCTAAAACGTACTGCGATAAGCAGATCAACGGCGCCGAAAGCAATCACGACGAGGCATTCGACGACATGGAAGCAACCGTCATCCCCAGTGAGGAAGGCAATGTCGTTAGCTTTCATGAAGCCAACAAGTACGCGGTTGTAGTCATAAGGTAAAGGGATTGAAATCCTGGGTTCCTGGGGAGTGTGAGCTGTGTTTAAAGAATCACAAGCGCAGCTGCAGGTTGAAGCAGTAGGGTATTGAGGGGTCTGAGGATTGTGTTGGGGGCAGAGCAGGGTGAAGCAACCATAGTCACGTGTATTTAGCTGTATGTCTAGTCACTCCTTTCCAGAAGTGTGTCACGCGTTATTAAATGAGCACGGTCCTCACAATCCATCTGCCTCGATCTAGCGGAAGTACGACATGGTTCTTGTCATGGAGGTTGACTGGGCCACGGTGTGATTGAAATACCGAAACCACCTACTCTCATGATCTAACTCGCCACTTTTAATCAAGGCAAGGCGAAAATAAACAAGGCTTCTGCTCCGCATTAATTCTAACTAGAGTACAGCTATCCTGGCCTCGCTTGTGACAAGTAGCAGATGCAATACATCAGCGCAAGGCAGATAGAGTGAATGTGCACTTTCCTTTCGGCCGCCTATCACGATACTAGTGAAGCTGTATAGCAGGGTCACGTGGCCAGTCACGGTACAAGGACCCGGCTTCAGCCAACACAGACCCTAGCTACTTACGTCTGTGGCTGTTCTCACATCAGCATAGCCCCGAGCGATGAGGGCACGTTTGTAAACACATCACCGAAAGGGGTTCATTTTTCGGTGAGCTTGACAGGCCATTACTGAGCACCGGTTACCGACCTCATGTGATGGTGGTCAGCTCAGTCAGCTCAGGCTGATATTGGTAGATCTGTGAGATTTCAAAGTGTTCTATTAAGGAGAGGAATTCCAGCTACTCTGGAGCGGCCAGAATGGCCCTATATATATCCAAGATACTAAAGGAAAGGATACGTGGCCTTATATTGGCCACGTATGTGACAGAGTCACAAATGGGGATGGTGATCCTGAAGGATGACTATGGATGGGCTAACGTAGCCCAGAATCCAACACAGGCTGGGTCGGCGATAGATAGAAGTGCCGTGCTCATCAGATTAATCATGACCTTGCTGAGGTGAGCCATCGTGGTGTTCGAGGGTTATGATGAGTGTTGACTTGTTACTCGGCTGGCGAAAAGAAGATGTCAGGAATGTTGCGAAGTGATGTTTCACTATTCTTAACGATGTGCGAGGATCATCAAAAGGGAGTGGGAGATCAAAGTCTATTTTGCTATGGCCGGTGTAAAGCAGGGTTGAGCCGAGAGTGGTTGGGGTGCTGGGCCAAAGTCACTGATAACCACCTAATCACAGGCTGCTCTGCGGCATCGGCAAGCTCTGAGCAATGGCCGAAGTTTGGCAAGGGACTGGTTTAGAAGCCAGCGGTTCCGATATCGCGCTGCTGTCATGCCTGTACGGTGGCAACATCTGAACGCAGCTTGTGATTCACGGTCCTCATTGCCATACCACCCAGTCACCGCACATGATCGTCATTGTAGTCAGGAGGCATATCACTGGTTACTGCATCGCTTATCAGAGCCAATGTAAGATACGGTGAGTCCCAGCGCATCGGACGGCATGGAACGCCATCCCGCTGCGGATTGCAGCGAAATGAGCGGCAAACATCTCGGGTCACAATCAGCTTGCAACTACAGCTCGTAGTTAATGCACAAAGAAACCGAGTCCATCTGAGCTCATCGTAGTACATTCGGAGACGCGTGATTGTTCTCGTGATGTCACTGGCGCCACCTGGCGGTGATGTTGAGACGAGACGTCGTCTTCTAGCTCTCATGGAGAAATACATATATGTGGCATCTCTGGCAGCTCAGATAGCAATTGGAACCTTCCTATTAAACCTTCCTGTTATCTTCACTAGGCCTATTCAGATTGGCATCGACTGGACAATCACCACCCGGACCATCTGCGCCCCGGCGCCACACCCGAATTCATCATGTCGGCAGCAGACTCGACTGAGTCGTACGAATGGAAGGACGAAGGTATTCCCAGCGGCTATACTCACGAACCAGAAGGGCACTTTATTGCAAGAGTGCATGAGCCGGATCCCACACCCGAGGAGGAGGAATTCGCGTTTGTTGTGCAACCCCCAAAGAAGGTTAAGAGAGGCGAACCCTTCCCATGGCCCGTGGTGGTCAAGGTCATGGTAAAGCACGGCCGTGGTCCCTTGCACAAAGGCCTGCAACTCAAATTGCTGGTGGAGAAAATCGTTGCCAAAGGCCGTGAAATTCTAGTTGAGGGTGCCGATGTTGAGAATGACATTTTCGTCAACATCGATTATGCTGCAAGCCCTATGAGTTTTCCTATGACGGAGGGGAAGGTCAAGGAGGGAAACACGCAATACACAGTCTTCTCCATGAGTCAAGGGATCAACCTGAAGCGGAACAAGTTCAAGCTATGCGTTTTCTTGGCGAACTTGGGGTTCACGGGCGATCCGGACCGGAATTCAAAGTCTATATGGGCGTTATCGCACGAGTTTGAACTTGTCGGAGAGAATATCGATCTACCACCCCAGGCGCCAAGTAAGTATCGACATCAACCCGCAAGTCATGTTCTAACAACGTGATAGCCGCGAATGAGATCAGGTTTATAAAGAACTTGCAAAGTTTTGAAAACTTCATTCACCTGCTGCCCAGGCCGTCATCAACGAAGGGGGGGCTTCTCCCATGGCAGCCACACCCAGTACTCCAGTTCCCACTGCGCACTGACTGGTATGTCCCCAAAAAGTGCGAGAACGGGTATGTCAACTTTGGGGCGATCATTGTACAAGTGAGAAACGTACCGGCGAATGTGGTTCCCGATCCCGTCGTCACCCTAAGTCTCCTCGTGGGACAGCCTGCCAAGAAGCGCGGGGAAAGCGACAGTCCGGAGCCCAACATGTTCGACGACGAAGTCAAGTACGAGCCGCAGCGCCTGACAGGTACCGTCGTCGAAGATGAAGACCAGGCACCTTACCGTTACGCAATTTTCAGACGCCTGAAGCTCCCCGTGTCTTTGATGGAAGGCGCCAAAAGGGGTGGAGGCTGCAGGTTCCGCGCAAGCTTCCACAGATATGACGATGGGCCTGTTGTGACTTGGATCGATACGCCTGTCCTCTATCGGCCAGACAAAGATGATGGATACAAGAACCCTCTCAGCAAGTTGCTTCCTCCACACCCACCCCCCTTCCGGTCTCGTAAGATCAAGTTATACTAACACGTAGGTTACCTAGCCCACAAGGAGCAGGCTCTTGTGAAGATATTGAGCGACGACAAGGCATTCGACTGGAAGTTGAAGTACGACGACTTTCGCGGCCCCATCCTCAATTTCGCGAAATGGGAGATTCAACTCCGCGGGCCGACGAACAGAGATAGCGAGGGCCAGACTGAAGCCGCAGGTGGCCATGAGACCACCAAGGTCGAACTTGACTGGACGTCACAGAGTGAGAGCAGCTTTGCATTTTATGCCAACGAATCTGACAAGGACGAATCTGACGTTGGATCGGGATACTCAACCGAAATACCCGAGGGGTCGCTACGCCAGTGAACGAGCACGGCTTGACTTCGGATTTTTGGCATTTCCTTGTTTCCTTGACTCTTCTTCCTTGGGTACCGTTGTACGGGGTCACGACGACACGTGACGGTCGCGATTTCACCCCCTGAGATGGAGCTGGGTTTGAGATGGTTTTTCCTACTGGGTTTCCCATCCTTCAGCATGAAATGCTGGCAAATGCACCCATACTGTTCCTTCAAAAGGAAAGAAGAAAATTGTTTGGTGTGAAGCCCAATGCTGTGAACTGTAGATGTTGGTCCCAGCGTAAGATGAAGAGAACTCGAACCCTGCAATGTGCTGAATGGCCGTAAGCCACCGTGGCGTCGGGTTATCTCAGCCTTAGCCCACCAGTGGTGCCCCGCTTCTTTCGTGGCTTCTATGTACTGTTTTCCGCCGCTCCACTTAATACCTGAGCACGAACCAGGAAAATGATGGTGAGCCACACCGCCACATATGGTCCACTTGTCCTCACCAACATCGACGTCTGTACCTGAGATAAGGGTCAGGGAGGTGGCAGTGCACTGATCAGGGGCTACCCAGCCACAGAGAGTTCACAACACCAGATTCATCAAGATCAATACCAAATACACGAATATCAGCCATATGAGCCATCTGCGCACTGTTTGACACAATGCGAAGATAGTCAGTGCAATGCAAAGACAGTCAGTGTATCATTAGCAAGTAAACGAACCACTCGTTTCCCATTAATACCTGTGCATTCCTGCGTGTTCAGAAATGTAGGCTGTCCAACCTCGAAAACTTGCCCAGCATGCCCAATGTGCCTTTATGCTAGGTTTACTCCTTCGTAGAGTACCGATTTACCAACCATCCCATCATGTACTCCAATCCACCACGGTCTTTCTCCTGACAGAGTAAAAGGGCTCTTCCACGACAATATTGAAGCAGTAGCGCCCCATGATTCGCCTGGTATACAGAATTCCATAGCCATTCCTTAGATCTTGATCGTTCTTCCATGTGCATACGCTCAATGACACCAATTTAGTCCTCCATGCATGACTTGCAGAGCTCGTCGGTTCGTCGCACGGTGTAATCGATTTGCACGACATCGGGGTTGGAATCTCTGTGGCCCATGCGTCGGAGAATGTCGACGGCGAACTGGGGCACGTCATCGAGGCGATCGCAGAATTAGGGCATCTTGAGCACCTGGAACACAGTGGCCGGTCCCAGCTGTGCAAGGGCATTGCGAAGGGGCTGCCATTGGCCGCGGGGTTTCTGATAAGTGGCGAAGACAGCTTCGAAGAAGTCATCCATATCAATGGCCTGATCGATCTCTGAGATGGTAGGGACATCGCAGAAGGTGTGAAGATTGTTTTCGACAAGCTCAACGATCTCCTGGCGGAGCGAATCGATCATGAAGAAGTCTTCGAGCTTGTAGAGCTTGACGGCCGTGGCGTAGTACGCTCTTCCTCTGAGAGAGTCGCGCACGTCGGAGGGGACTGCGGGGCGTTAGTAGGTATCGTGGGTTGTCTGAGGGACTGCACTTACGTTTGCCGGTGTAGATGTAGTGGAGGACAGAATAGGCGTCCTTCGGATCCGTCTCGTGTAGAATAACCTCGTTCGTACGAGCCTCCTGCAAAAATGTAAGTATTCCACCAGACAGAGGTAGAGGGCTGTGGGTCTTACGGCGAAGTTGCCCATGAGAGCTTTGTGGAAGAACACGTTGCGGCTGCAAAGAATGGCCTTGTGCACATTCCAGGTCATGTCGCCGCACGTGAGTTTGACATCGGACATCTGGCCGGACATGAGAAGACTGCTTACTCGCATGTTAGCACGGGAGGGGCTTCGTGGCAATGCGGGATCTCACATCTCGTCGGACTGCTCGTTCAAGGTAGAGGGCCTCAGCCGATCGGTAGAAAGCGGTGGAATTCATCGTGCTTCAGGTGACGCAGGAGAGAGTACCAAATGGCAGTGAGAAGAGCGAGTACGTGGTTGTGGCGCGAAGCGAGTCGCGTCGATGGTAGGAGAAGAGCGACGTGATTATGACGCGAAGCGAGGCGAAGCGCGTCTGTGGTAGAAGAGGATACGGAGATGTAGAGAGAGAGCACGGTATCGATTCAGGTAGGCAGATAGTCGAGGTTGTATTCGCAGAGGTTGGCGAGATGCGGAGAGCAAGGCAGGAGTCGTAGAGACTGCCCGGCTGCCGAGATGCAGAGAGCAAAGCGCGGTCGCGATCCAAGTACGCAGAGAAGCGAGGTGCAGAGAGGAGGAGGTAGCGAGATGCAAATAGAACCACGAGATGGCTATCGACATGCTGCAAAGGCGAGATGGCGTTCGCAGATGTTTGTGAGTCGGTAGCGCAGATTCTGGTCCCAAGGAAGATTGCAGTGGGAGGCAAGATGATGTCCAGAAGAGAAGTGGGATGGATGGTGATCCAGGTAGTCAGAAGAAAGAAGTAGAGAAGAGGTTGCTCAGGTGAAAAGTGGTTGAGATGAGATCGCTGTAGCAGAGGCTGTTGGTGCATGTAGGTGGTGCACGTAGGTGGTGGGAGGTGGGGGGTCTGGTGATGCGAGTAACGAAGAAAAGGGGAGTACCTCTCAATTCCGACAATTCGGGTGGTTGACAACTGAGATTTCCAGCAAGGCATCCATCTATTTTTGGTTAGCGGCACAACTCAGCTCATCCAGCTTCATATGTACCAAGTAGACCTCCGAGCCTGACGAGCTAGCTTCTGCTCTCTACAACAACTACGGCAGACGGTAGCAAGGTTGCTTTCGCCTTTCGTCTCAGCACCCTCGTCGTCTTCCTCTCAACATCAACCTTCCGCACAAACCCTAACATGTCGTCGCGCAAGTCCATTCAGAAGAAGCCAAACGCGTTCATTGGCGACACGTTCCGCGCCTCTGATGCCGAGTAAGCAGCCCATCACTTCTATCTCACCCTATTTCGGCACGGACTAACTTGGCCCAGGCTCCTCAAGAGCGGCATCCTCTCCGATGTCATGGTGATATGCGGCGATCAAACCTGGAACCTCCACAAGACCGTCATCTGCTATCGTTGCCCTTTCTTCGAGAAGGCCTTCCTTGGCAAGTTTTCGGTTAGTCCTTGTCCATGGCCGCTCCTTCTCATCCACCCCAGTCCGAACTTCCGTCGCTTCTCCTCCATTTTGGCCCTCGAAGGGCTGACTTACCTTTACAATGACAGGAAGCGAGGGATGGCACGGTGACTATCAACGGTGAGGATCCGGTCCTTGTTGGTTGGGCCATCACCTGGTTGTACTCGGGAGCGAGTGAGTAGCTACCTAATCACCATGAATAATCTTAACACTGACTAATACTTACGTTCGGTAGGCTCGGAATGGAACAGCGAGTCTGGAATCGGCGTTTCGAAGCTGGTCGATTTCTTCCAGCTCGTCGACTACCTGGATATTGACCAGCTCAAGACCATCATCGTCAGCCAGATCGAGAGTGTTCTCCTGAAGGCGGCCCGAGACGTCCAGGCCAACAACAACGACGCAAGCAACCTTGTTGAACCGTTCCTCAACGACTTCTTCTATGCTGCCAACACTGCCTACAATACAGGATCAACCGCTTTCTGGGCTCTTCGACAACCGCTCGTCGACTTTGCCGCCAACACCAGATTCTCAGTCTGCAAGAATCCAAGCATCTGGAAGCGTCTGGAAGAGACTCCTGGACTGGGCACCGACATCCTGCGACGCCTGATCACGAACGGTGGCAACGCGGATGAGGATGGATCGTTACTCGTGCTCACCCAAACCCCCGCCAAGTGCGTCAGATGCAAGAAGGAGCGCGATTTCTACCCCTTCACTTGGTTGAAAGATGTCGACACTAGCCGTGGTGCACGCAGGCTCGCGCTGGTGGGCAATTGTGATACATGCCACCAGGCTCACTTGGAACGGGCAAAGGAAAGTAACTAGGTCGGCGGCACGATACAAAACTTGGAGGGTCAGAGGCTCTTGAAGGGATACACGTAGCCTTGCTACATTGGCATAGTAGGCGAAGGTTTCATGCGTCGCAAGTAAGCACATGCTTCTTCCAGCAGACAGGTACAGGAGATGGTTGGCGGCCGTATGGGTCAGGCCGCGTTAGAGCTTGGTAAAGCTCGATACTCATCAATGAATTCATTCTGGTCATCTCGAACTCTCCGTCTACCTCTTCTTAGCCTTCTTCTCTTTTCCTGCCTGACCGCAGGCAAGGTAATATCGCCGTCACTGTGACTTGACTGCACCATCTCTGCAGACCTCTTGCTACGTCGTTCACTCTGATGCGTCTGCTCATATTTCGGTTTCCAACTTGAACGGTTCTAGAGACAGCTAGCTTATCGCTCTGCACTCATCACCCCCAAGCTGCATACGAATTCTCAGCCCCACTAGCGGTGCACTGTACAGCTCAGGGCACTCGAGCTCGTCGCCGAATGTGCACCATCATTTGCAATCCTTCGTTCATTCTCCTTCCACTTTAGACATCGCGAGATGTCTCGTGCCGATCCCATCATGGACTACCATACTGGTCATGACATGCTCAGTCAGTCAGGAGCCGAGTAAGTTACTTTCGTATGATTTCTATGTGCATCGTCGTTGACAGTAACAGCATCCTCGAATCTGGACTCTTCTCCGATGTCATTGTCACGTGTGGCAGCCGCACATGGAGTCTTCACAAGACCATCATCTGCCCACGATCCGCGTCTTCCGCAAGGCGTTCACTGGTTCTTTCAAGGTGAGTGTCACCACCGACGCCCTTCGGAACCCTGGTGGCCAAGATTCTTACTCTCTACAGGAAGCAACGTCTGGTCATGTGGAACTGCACGAGCAGGACGAGGCTTTGGTCCATGAGGCCACCAGTTGGCTCTACGTAGGAGACGGTTAGTGATTAACAAGCTACGTGAGCACGATTAACCACCACTAACTACTATACACAGTAGCCAAAAAGGACGAGAAGACGTCTCTGGCCTTCTGGGTCGACCTGAGCATGGTGGGAGACTACCTGGGTATCGAGAGCCTCCGAAGATTCGCAAACTCCCATTTTGAAACCATGGTCGAGAATCGGAAGACGGAGATATTCAAGCAGTGGAACAGTGTTGTCAGGGATCCGTCAAAGATTGACACGAAGGAGATCGAAGATCTCTTTCATGCAGCAAACGTGGCCTACAACATGGAAGCGTCTTCCTCTCGTTTCCTGCGACGGACTCTCCTGAAGTTCATGTTGGACACGAAGTATATTGCTGGCGTCAACGCCCAATTCGCTGCCCGCATTGCCGACTATCCTCTATTCGCTGCAGATATGTTCGAGCAGATGATGAAGTCTCACGGATCCATTTCAGCGCCTCTCATTGCAGGGCGATGCCCGAGACAGTGCAACATATGCCAAAGATCCGCGGATGAGTCTCGTCACTTGATACCATCTACTTGGTCTGAAGGAATAGATGAATGTGGTCGGATTCCGGTGTATTATCGGGCTCTTTGCAACGTTTGTGCAGAGAAGTACGGGGTGATATTGATGACTGACTGAAGTCGCCCGACACCGCCCGAGGTTCATTGGGGCTCACCCATGAGCTAGACTGAGTATATCATCAATACAGATCTCCTTTTACCCATTCTTAGACTTCATGATAGGGACTAGGAACATGAACCATAACAGGCTGTCACAGTCAGGAGCTAGGGAAATAAAGGACAACTTTGCCTCATTTCTATTAGTGGCGTCAGATACAGAGTGAGGCACTGAAATGATGATTTAGTTTACAAGACTCGGTGTGGAAAGAAACAGTGAACATGATGATCATCTTCTATGTATTGGGGATAGCTACTCCATACTCTCCGGAGCCCTCGAATCACCACCTTTCCGCATCAACGCCATCCTCTCGCTATCCTCCACAAGCTCCGGATCAACAACAGCCTTCTCCTCCTCCCCATCGACGCGCAAGCCCGCACAGTTCACAGTAAACTCCAGCAACATAGTCTCCGCGACCGGCGCATTCACGCTCAGCGCATGATTATCCCCATCGAACAACCTTAGCTGCCTGTTCCCCTCGGTCCCATACTGCGCATACAGCCGCTGCGAGCATGCCTGACTCAGCTTCACTTCCGCCGTCCCATGCAGCAGCAGCACCGGCCGCGGCGCCAGCCTTCGGATCCCCTCCGTCTCGGCCGTCTGGCTCGCCACGGTCGCGCACCCGACGACGCGCTCGTTGCTGCCGCCGACCGTGAATACCGGTGCACCGCCGAAGGACCAGCCGACGAGCACGAAGTGGTCCAGTCCGTACGTGGCCTGCAGATAATCCATGGCGGCCTTGACGTCGCGCACGCAGTAGCGGTTGCGCGCCGGGTACCGGTAGTCGAGGCATAGGGCTGGGATCCCGGGGCCGAGGGCGGCTAGCTTGGCTGCTAGACTGAGGTAGATGGAGCTGGGGCCGGTGACGCCTCCGCCGGCGCCGGAGAGGAGGATGGCTGCTGTGCGGTGGTGCGTTTCTGGCGTTGGGGATGCGAAGTTAGGGGGCAGGTGGAGGAAGCCGGCCACGGAACCGTCTGCACCGTCTTCGACTTTGATGCTGAGCGGCTCGACTTTTGTGTGTTGTGTGGCTTTGGAGGGGAGCCGCGATAGGTGTGGTGGGCGTGCGAGTCCGTCGTAGTCCCCGATAGTCTTGGGGGGCGCATTGACGGGTTTGGGTCCCTCGGCGGGCAGTGAGGTGTTTGTCGTGGAGGCCATGATCGTGGACCATTGCTGGAAGACACGTAGAAGTGACCTACGAAGTGAATGCATGAGAGAATGTTGATTGTGTCGCAGGGTTTTGATGAGTGCAGTTCGGCGCCGCTCGCCCCTTTCGTGGTGGCGATTACGGTCAAAGTATGATGTCAGATTCACGTTCAAGAGGATCATTACTGAGTAGACATTCACCACAACAGGAAACTGACTGACTAGTGAGGCACTTCATGGAATACCGAATCACAAGTATTCGAAGCCCGCGAACGAGCATGCCGATTCATGCGAGGACTGATCCCCTCACACGCCCCTATACAGTCGGTCTTCCCTCACTTCCTTTTGAGCGAGCACGTATGTTTATACAAGCACAGCATGAGATTAAGCCATGAAAAATGCCGGAGCAACAAGAGTCTACGACGAATGCTCTATATCCAAAGTAACAGTCCCTCAAAATGCCTCATGCCTGGTTCAGCGACTGTGCCAAACACATGGCAAGGTACCGATCCGCCGGGCGCCGAAACTCCTCATGGGTGCCCATTTCCTCAACCCTGCCATCTTCAATGAGAAAGATGACATCCGTACGGCGAATACTATGAGCGAAAGCAACACTCGTTTGACCGGAGGCTGCCTCATTAAGTGTCTTCTGCAAAACCTGCTCGCCCTGCATGTCCTGTGCAGAGGTTGCCTCATCAAGCAGCAGCAGGCGTGGCTTACGTTTCAAAGCTCTGGCCAGGCGATGTGCTATTGCTGTTCGCCCGACGTTATCGCGGACAGAGTCCGTGTACAGCAGCGACTCTTGTTGCACTAGCGACATGAGCGAGAAAGCGCCTTGATTTCTCGTGATGTAGCCGGAAGTCGGGCCGTGGAAGCGCTGCGTGAGGGAACTGATGGTGCTCTTGCTGCTTCCAGAACCTCCGACAAACGCGGCACCTTCGCAGAGCCCTCTGCTTCTATCGGAAGTCAACGTTCTCGACTCCAATAAACACTTCGGCTCCGGATGGCCGTACGCTTCGGTCCTCATTCTTACTACGAAATCATTCTTGCCCCCATGGCAGGCTTTCGTAGTTCCCCCTTCATAGATTCGTGGCTCTAGGCATGGTTAGCGGCCTCTAGCCATTTCCAGCAGGCCTGTACTGTAAGACAACTCGTTTAGATGGACAAAGACGCCGAGATTGAAGGCTTCGTGAAAGATCCGCTAACAGAAGAACTCTGACCTATACGGATTCTATAGACTATATATTAGCATTCGATCCGCCCACCGCCGCGCAATCCTTAGTCTGGTGCTACACTACTGCCATTCTGAGGTCTTTTTTCGCAAGCATTGTGGAACCATTCTCGCGACATTACCACGAAAGCATCATGGCGCGCAAAATCACATCTGCGAACTACAAGGATGCAGCCTCAACGCTCACCGAATCGAATGAGCAGTAGGACCGGCACCGATGTACCCCCATGAATGCGATGGCTAACTCATGACCGTATAGCCTTCTCGAGCCTGGACTGTTTGCAGACGTTAAGGTCAAGTGTGGTGATCGAACTTGGAATCTACACCGGGCAATCATCTGCTTGCGCTGCCCCTATTTCGAAAAAGCCTTCGGTTAGCAATTTTAGGTAAGCTACCGGTCCGACTGTTGCCCTATCACTTCTTAGTAATGCTGGCTACGTTGCCGCTCATTGCCGACCTTCAGTTGTGGTGGCTGCTTCTGATGTCAACAGCACTTCCCGTTCTCTTCAGCTAAGACCCCCTGGGAGCTAATCTATCGTCGTCAGGAAGCCAAGACGGGCGAGCTCTTTTTTCATGATCAGAAACCTTAGCAGGGAGATTTGGTTATCAAGTTCCTCTACAACGGCAAATGTGGGTTGTCGGCCCATGTTCCCTCGCCGAGATATTGCTATACTGACGCGATTCAACTTGAAGTCCCCTCTGGCCTCACGGACAAATATCCCATCACCTCCTGCCTTGATCTACTGAAGGTTGCCGATTTCTTTCAAGTCGACCTCCTGGTAGACGAGATCGCCACCATGATGCGCTCCAGGGTCGAACAATGGGCCGGAGTAGTACAACGTGCAGGGCTATTGTATCTTTACAACCCGTCGACGTATCTTTCGGATGCCCAAGTCGACGAGTTCTTTCAGATTGTCCAAGTTGCCTACGACTCTTCCTACGCTGCCATTCAGGAGCAGGTCAAGGCCTTCGTACCTATGACAAGGTATCATGTTCTAAAGGATGCGCGTTTTCTGGCAGCCTTGGAGGACATCCCGGATTTTGCCGTGGACGTGGTTAAACTACTGATGCAAGTGGGCAGCCGAGGTGCGAATTCACTTGTGGCTACTGACGTTCCCGTAAAGTGCGCCGATTGCGGAGCCACGGCGGACTTCTATGCCAACACCTGCCTTACAAGCAGTGAATTTTGTGATGGGACTAAAGGTCTTCACTACAATGGTTATCGTGTCCACGGTCAGTGCAAGGCCTGCGCTTCATGGAATGATCTAAATCATTCAGAACATTGGGTTTCTCGGGGAGGCTGAAACTTCGTGTCGCAAAAAAGGCAGCATGAATTCTGTCCAAGCTACTGGCAGTCTTCCCTAAACTGCTACTTGGAGCTAGAGGCCTGCGTCTGCGGAAGTCGTATAGGGCACATCATGCCCACAACCACAAGAAGTATAGAGACATTCATACGTTGATGGCCGTGGCTCTTGTCATGGTACTGGCATGGGTAGCTCTCTGTAGAGAGGTTCGCGCCCCTTCGAGAGACTGCATCCCTCTAGCAGGAACTCTAATCAAGAGACGGCGTTCGCCGCGTTCTTCTTGGAGGAACGCTAATCAAGAGACCCAAGGCTCAATCACGCTGCGGAGGATACCCTCGCCGTCAATCCTTCGCCGTCATACACCGTTAGAGTAGGTGGATGGCCCCCCATCAGCCTCACCTAATGTACTATTCTTTGCCTAATTTTGGACATGTCCGTCTTACACATGGCATGCAGTAGAATGAATTGACGCCTGTCTGTACAAGTCTCTATGTGACTCGTAGACGCGCCTGATCATCTTGTACTCGTGCTGGGCCCCCTATTCATCGGCTCTTGCAATATTCCGTAGTTAGGCAGCCCATGGAAACAGGCCCGCTGTCGAAGCTATATAGGCATGCTCAGCGCCCGGCCTTTTATGATTTTACGCCATCAAGCGCCTCATAAGGAGGTCACATGTCAGAGCTAAGCCCTCGAGGACCAGATCCTAAGCTCGGAAGGTAGCAAGAAGTTGCCAGTGGCAACAAGCGCAACTCGCCAAGTCAACACGCCGTTGCCGTGTATATCAACACACTTTCGTCGACACCTCCTTCCTCTATCCATATTTCCATACCTACATGCCTCCCCGTTCGCACAGCAGTTCCTACAACCAAGAACAAGAATAATCATTCACATAAAGTCCTCCCACACCTACATTCGGCCATTTTGGACTTCCTTTAACCAGCCGTGCCACGAGCGCTCGTCCGACAAGATGCCTGAGGATGCTTACTTGCAGCATGTCTCAACCAACGGTGCCAGCTCCGCATCCTTCGACCCTCTGGAGTACTACGAGAAGATCGCAAGACGCAACCCTACCGCCATTGCTATAGCAAATAAAATGTGGCTCGACTTTCCATCTTTAGACTCCCGCAAGGCGATTTACGTAGCTCGCCGCTGTTCTCCCGAGTATGCCGGAGCCGCTAGACAGGAGCCTGTCCCTGGGCATAGCTATGCCTTTCCTCGCGAGTATGCCAGAGCCGCTAGACTGGTGTATGTCCCTGCCGGCATTCTTCCTGGGAAGCCTTTGCTCCGGAGGTTCCCTCCCGTTTTAGCCAATGATACAGCAGGTGACCCGTGGAGGGTATGAGAGTGTTGCCCAGGAAAGGCGGTGGCTCATTTGGGCAATGAATGGGCGGAATGGTTGAAGACTTTGGATCGAAGTGGTCAGCCTCTGGGGAATAGGATGAAGATACTCATGGCGAGGTCATGGAGTTGCATCAACAAGATTGGCTGATAGATATGTACCCATAGTGGCCATGGAAACCCTTCACCGAGTCGGCAGCGTAGTACGTCTCTTGTGTGTATGCTCGGAGTGCCTCTCGCGAGAGGGCCGTCACCGGCTCAAGAATCCAACTCAAGCTCACAGTAGAGCCTACCAATAATGTAATTGTCAGTAACGAAAACCTGCGACATAGATGGCACCAGTGGCCACTCAAAGAAGACTTGATGCAGAGCAACAGACAATGACTTCATGTGCGCCCAGCCGTATGTAACAAATCAGATGGTGTTGTTGAAACATTGACGTTACTGGGCTCCCAATCTGAGACCAGTCAATCTGCCCCAACGGCTCCCGTGAACGTTATGGCCGTAGTCCATCAGACCGCAAGATGATGTGAGCTGGAGGTGAATTTCTACGAACATTTAGGCAGCCACGGAACGAAATCTGCGTGTACACGTCACCCGGATTTATCGGTGATGTCGGGACATGGACCTGGGCCTTGGTGTTGTGCTGCGGGTCAATTGCAGGACCCGACCCCGAGGCGGAGCCCCTTTTTGCATTTTCCGGTTATGGTTAAGGTGAATTTCAGGTTACTTAGCGTGCCCCCACCGTAAGGCTTAAGCGTTAGTGTGGATACACTAACTACTTGAAGGGCGGGCCAGACACTCGGAACCTTAACGATCATCAGTCGCAGGGGTCAGGACTGCTTGCATGTACACATGTATCTTAGATCCGTGTCTCACGAGATCTGTATTCCCTCTATTCACATTTCTACCTACTCATTACCTGTAGGTACCTACCTATGAATCACCTTGGTCGCTCATTGATAGTCTGCTAGTACAACCCAACGACATACGTACTCCTGTCTGTGTTGCTCGTTCCCAGATATCCGCCATCAGTCGACTATCTCTTCTGCTTGTTTGCTGGCGTAGACTCGAAAAGTTGGCTTCCACGTGGCCTGGGTGGCATGCAAGATTATTCCATCTTGCTACCGTTCAGCTCACCCCTGTCAATGAGTTATCGCTGTCTTGGCGGTCGGGCGAGAGCCTTGGCTCTTCCACTGATTGCGTGACGAGGAATTGCACTCCGAGTTCTCGTCTGATTATGTGAGCAGATTGATTCATCAGCCTGTCCTTTTGGCTTCTGTCCGGGTCTTGTAGGCTGTGAGGGTCGGCTGTGTGTCGGTAGAGCAGATTAGCATGTCTTGGTGCACGGCCTTCCAACGATCTGGCTTCTAGACCGCGGAGTTAAGTCAGTGTCAGCACCCCGAGCGGATCTCACAATGGGAATCTACCCGAAATCTCGTCAACTCCTCTATCTTATTGAGTCAATGGGCATTGACGAGAGTCTTAAGACTGTCTACCGGTGATGACGGCTACCCTGGACTCGATAGGCCACCTTAGACCAGTAATTATCAGCAGCCACTATATCAAATGCACCATAACCATAATGACCCCTCTGGCCGGAGGTAGTCGCTGCTCGGTCACATTGGAAAGCAACCCCGAGCTTCTGGGGTCCAAATGCGGCAGCTTTAAGTCTCCGCGCCCCACACCTGACCAATCACACCCGGCCGACTCGCTAATGTCAGGCTTCCCAGTCAACTCGCGGACTTGGAGACAGCTCGAGACCCCGTCACGCCCGTAACCACATGTATCAATTAGACCATTACTGTGTATGTTAGAGCGTGTATTAAGCGTACCTGGGCATATCGTTATGCATCCACTATGTATCCCGTTTACTTGCTATATATTTGCCTGTCCCGACATTTGGCATTGTCATCATCAACCCTCAGTGTCTTCATCCCAAACAACAGCCACGACCCACATTGGCCTGCCTACCCACAATCCGGAGGTAGAAGAACAAAGCCTTCATCTGGAAGTCGCATTCTTCCCATCACACCGCGCGAAAAACATTTAGCACCATGTTGAAACCGAACAGACAAGGCCCGGCGGACACGCATTCGCAGGCCCCGACCATCGCGGCCAGCAGCAACAGCATGGCGGAAGACGAGAAGGGGACCGGCTCCATACCCTCCGTAGCGGACAGCGCAAGCTTTGTGGAGGACCAGCCGGCCGTACCCACCCGTGCCGACCATGAGAAGAACTCGGACCTAGCCAGACACACCACAGCCCTATCGCAACCTGGCGGCGAGCCTCTACGGGAGGTTGAGACGCGGGAGGACGGCACCGCATACCCAACCGGGACGAAGCTGGTCCTCATCACCGTCGCCTTATGTCTCAGCGTCTTCCTGATCGCTCTCGAGTAAGCTAAACACCAGTGCGAGTATATACGCGGCATTGGATAGCAACTAACAACAAACTGCTGTAGCAATTCCATCATCGCCACCGCCATCCCCAAGATCACCGACACTTTCCACAGCTTGCCAGATGTAGGCTGGTACGGAAGCGGTAAGCCAGTCTCCCAGTCTCCCACCCTCCCACTCTCCCAGTTTTACCACCTTACCTCCCACCCGAACAAGTCCACTGACAAGTGGTCACAGCATATCTACTCACGACCGCCGCTCTGCAGCTCCTCTTCGGAAAATTCTACACCTTCTTGAGCATCAAATGGGTCTACCTGGTCGCCATCGCCATCTTCGAGCTCGGCAGCCTGATCTGCGGTGTCGCCCAAAACTCGGTGACGCTGATCATCGGCCGTGCCGTCGCGGGTCTGGGCTCGGCGGGCATCTTCTCCGGCGCCCTTCTGATCCTGGCTTACAGCGTGCCCCTGGCCAAGCGACCTCTCTACACTGGCCTTATTGGGGGCATGTACGGCATCGCGTCCGTCGCCGGGCCCCTGCTCGGCGGTGTCTTCACGGACAAGGTCACATGGCGGTGGTGCTTCTTCATCAACCTGCCCATCGGGGCCGTCACTCTCCTCGTCATCGCCCTCTTCTTCCCGGACCCGGTGCGCCCTAAGCCGCAAGACGAGCCGCTGCTCGACCGCATCAAGCGCTTCGACCCCGTCGGCACCTTCGTCTTCATGCCCGCCGTCGTCTGCCTGCTCCTCGCCCTGCAGTGGGGCGGCACGACCTACGCCTGGAACAGCGGCCGCGTCATCGCGCTCTTCGTTGTCTTCGCCGTCCTGTTCGCCGCCTTCCTGTACATCCAGTACGTACAGCAGGATAACGGCACCGTGCCGCCGCGCATCATCAAGAACCGCAGCGTTTTGGCGGGCGGCATCTTCTCCTTCGGCATGGGGTCCAGCTTCTTCCTGTTCGTCTACTACATTCCCATCTGGTTCCAGGCAGTACAGGGCGCTAGCGCCGTCGACTCGGGCATTCGTAACTTGCCCATGTTGATCAGCGTAGTCGTGCTGTCGATCCTGTCGGGCGGCCTGATCTCGACGTTCGGCTACTATGCGCCTTTCATGATCCTCGGCAGCGTCCTCACGGCCATCGGCGGCGGCCTTCTGACCACCTTCAGCCCGAGCACGCCCAGTCCCGTCTGGATCGGTTACCAGATCCTGTACGGCGCCGGCGTGGGCATGGGCTTGCAGCAGCCGCTCATCGCTGTGCAGACCGTTCTCGACATCAAGGACGTGCCCACCGGCACCTCGGTCATCATCTTCCTGCAGACCATCGGCGGCGCGCTCTTCGTGAGTGTCGGCCAGAACATCTTCACCAACAAGCTCATCTCGGAGCTCGCCAAGCGCGTTCCGAGCATCAATGCCACCGATGTGCTCGGTGCCGGCGCGACGAACCTGCAGAAGACGCTATCGCCAGACCTGATTCCCGCGGTCGTCCTCTCATACAGCAATGCGCTGACGAGTGCCTTCGTCGTCGCTACGGCCCTTGCTGTCTTCACGATCATCGGCGCTGTGGCGATCGAGTGGAAGAGCGTCAAGGGGAAGAACATCGAGATGGGCATGGCTTGAACAGGTGTCAAGCATGATCGAGGGTTTACGGTACATGCCATACCGTTTGTGTAATTCATACAGGAGCTACGTCTCGATTTTTCTTGACCAATGGTCTGGGAGGCATAGAAAGGTTCAGGGTCTGTAGCATAAGGGCACGGCATTGGTGGTGTTGGTCAAGATTCCCATAAGGTTCCATGTCGGATACCTCTGTCACGCTCTGTTTGTACATTATGTAGCGTCAGCGGCGGTGTTCATAGGAGACCTCTCTCAATTCTCCATTGCTATGGGTATGGTATTAGAACTCGAGCCGTGTCAGTGCTAGCATATCGGAACATCCGTTCTGGAACATTGATGCGTAATCTAACCCTCTCTTACATATGAGCCATGTTTTCTAGCGACGGGCAGCTCCCATTATGTCAATTGTGGTCCATATGGATGACCATGTCGTGGCCCCTGGTTGATCATGTCGTGGTCCCTCTGGCCAATCGTGTCATGTTCCCTCTGGTTGATCATGTCGTTTTACTGGGTGCAACACCGTCTGCGCAATCCGGACAGAGTCCCAGCGGGTATGTTCCCCCAGTGGACCAGATCTTCGCATGGAACTTCTTGTTATCCTTGCACCGGTTGCAAGCCAGAGGCAGGTATTTGAGCTCGTAAGCTCAATGGGCCTTGTATACCACGTCCATGTGCTGCATCATGACATCGCACATGAGGTCGGGGAGTTTCCTGATGCGTTCGCGATGACTCTCCAGCTCGAGCAAGGTAAATCGTGTCATGGTGAAGAAGTCGACCAATACCTGGCGCAGTCTGCCCGAACGTCCTCCAGTCATGTATACATGATGGGCCACGTCGAAGAATCCGTCCAGGAAGGCATCGGTGAAGACCGTGTTGACGTCCAGCTCTTGTACCTGTATCGAATTGGTGGAATTGGTGGAGTCTCTAATCTTCCCCTGTAACACCTTTGCGATTCCTCTGAAGCGCTCTTCGAGCGCATCAGCGACCACGAGCTGGAATCTGTCGAAGGAGAAGTAGTCGGCGATCTTTAGGCAATTGACACATGCCTCAAAACGGGTCTTGTCGTCTGCCAACAAAGCCTTGAGGTCGGGGGCCGCTGCAGAGAAAGGTAAGCGCACTGATTGTTGCCGAGGTTTGATTCGTCCATACCCTTTCCCGTGTCGATGTACGTGATAATCCAGTTGACTTTGACCTTGTCTACGTCCCCAAGGGTGATTGTGCCAGACTTCGCTGCCTATCTTCTTGTTACGGTATTACGTAATACCTCCACATATCTTTGTACATATATACCCTATCTTTCCCTTTCTTTTTCTTACCTTGTCTCTTCTTCCTTAGATATCGTTGAATCTAGATATTTCATCCCATCAGCCCTGACCAGCGCAGCTGCAGGCCTGATTGTCACATAGATTCAATGATATCTCCTTTCTTACTATGCTACTGTAGTATATTATACCCCTGGCTCTAAAATAATGCGACCTGGACGCCCGTGCTATAGATGTCCAACAACCAGATTGAAGGCCTCACTGACTTGATTTCTCAGTTCGAGATCACTCCTACCGAGACACTCCAACGCGAGACAGAGGAAAAGAGCCAAACCACCAACACAGATACAAATATCACCCTGCACAAAGAATCTGCTTCGGCCCCGGCACTGTTTGACAGCTATCATTTGCCTACTGGCCTTGACGCGTCACCAGGCCCCACACAGCCATATCACGACCCCCACGCAAAGCCACCTGCCATCCCTACCATGGGACCACCTCTTGTACTGAAGTGCGCCGCCGGCGCCAAGTTATTTGAATACTGGCCGGGCTGGTCCGGCGATCGCGCCACTTACTTGACGTATCACCTGACCATCAAGAGCATTATTTTCAACGCGGAACTTCAAGATACTCTCGGGAACAACCAGCATGTATGTAATTCCGTATACCGCAGCATCCCCGAGTCCCACAGGGTCAGAATCACCGGCTGGATCCAGGACCGTATAGAAGATCCGTCCCTTGCATGCAGTATTGAGGACTAGCTCACCGTCCTGGAGACGGCCTTCCTGCCTCGGGATGCCCAGGAACGCGCCTCTCGCCAGTTGTATACCGTTTGCCAAGGACACGCCCAACCGCTGGCCGAGTTCCTGGCCATCTTTGATGCCCTCTGTTCACAAGCCTGCAAGCTAGCCCCGATCGGGCCAGCCAAGGTCCACACAGCCACCAAGGCATTTGCCCCCTACCTGCACAGAGCTCTGGCCAACCAGCTCGAAATCTCCCGCACGGAATACGAGCCGTTCATCGCCAAGGCGCAGGCTCTAGCCAATAACCTGGAGGCACTGCTGGAATTCTATTCCTCCAAGGGCGCGCGGAAGGAGTGGTACATTACCGACAAAATCAACCCCAATGTCATGGTCCCAACTCGAGGAGGCATACCGAATCACACAGACCCCGGAGGCACGCCCGCAGGGGCTGTCGACGCCAGTGGCAACACGTACATGGGCGGAACGCCAGGCGTTGTCGGGAACCTCGAGACTAGGCTGTTCAACCTCGAGCACCGCATCGGAGGACGACAAGGACACAGGCGTACGAGGGACACACGTCCAAAGGCACCACCTATCACGGCTGTAGAATATCGCAACCGCGAATCTACTGGACGCTGCATTCGCTGCGGTAAGAATCTATCGCACAGGTTTGGCGACTATGACTATACAGGCTTTGCTCGCCACCCTCTGGCTGCCAGTAGCAATGACAGCATGTCACCCGGTTCGTCAAAAGACTAGCCTCTGAGCAAAGTCGAGCTCAAAGGCTAAACACGGATGTTTTCGGAGAGAATCTGTACCAGCCACCGTCACAGGAGCAGATAGAAGCAGCGGAGGAGAGGTTAGACAGCATGCTATTTCTCATAGATACGCTGATAGACAACACATTCTATACCTCTGCTCTTTTTGACACAGGATGCTTGCCCTATGCCGCATTTAGCGAAAGCTTTATAAACCGAAAACAACTCCCACGCACAAAAATCAGCCAGCGAGAGCTACAGTTCGCTGCAGACGGCGACGACTCCAAGTTTCGAAGGGCCAATTCCAAGTCTTCCCGCAATATCGACCAGATGACCTACGCTATTATCGACATCAATGGCAGGCAGGAGCATGTTTATACGTATATTATCCCGGGCCTCCACTACGATATCATCCTCGGCAAGGGATGGTGCGAGCGCAACGATGTCCACTACAAAGCCAAGAAGCGCCAGCTACGTGTCGGATCACCAGGCAACAGTGTAAAGGTTTGCAAGAGCGGTTGGATGGATAATCCACATGTCGTTGAGAGGACCAAGTCAATCAAAACCGCACACCTTGTAACAGCGAGAATCTTTAATACTAAGATTAAAAGAGCAAAGAGCAACAAAAGCCCCATTTCGATCGGCTCTATTATTATTAAAGACATCAACAAGGCATCAAAAAAACTAAGCAAGAGGAAAGACAAGCCTATGCTATGCTCGCTCAAGGACCAACTCCCAGAAGCCCTGCGGGACGAGGCGCAATATTTCATGGACAATGACAACGGAGTGGTACCTCCTCACAGACCCGGATGGGATCACGCTATCAATGTCGAGATAGACGACCAAGGGCGACCAAAATGGGTTCCCTATAGACCACTTTATAACATGTCCAGAGAGGAACTCCTGGTATTGCAGAAGACACTAACCGATTACCTTGACAAGGGATGGATCAGAGCAAGCGCGTTGCCAGCAGGCGCCCCAGTGCTCTTCGCACGCAAACCAGGGGGTGGTCTACGTTTTTGCGTCGACTACAGAGCTCTAAACGCCATAATGCAGTCCGATCGGTACCCCTTGCCCCTGATACGGGAAACGCTCCGCCAGCTGACCAAGGCAAAATGGGTAACCAAAGTAGACGTTTGCGCAGCATTCCATAGACTGAGAGTACGGGAAGGAGACGAGTGGAAGACAGCATTAAGGACGAGGTACGGTCAATTCGAATGGCTGGTCACCCCTTTTGGCCTCTGCGGCGCACTGGCAACCTTCCAGCGTTACATCAACTCTACACTTCAGGACCTGCTTGACATCTACGCATCGGCTTACATAGACGACGTAATCATCTATAGCGACAGGACATACAAGGACCACATGGATAAGGTCAAAGTCGTCATCCAGAGACTGGGCAAGGCGGGCCTCCAAATTGACATCGAGAAATGTGCTTTTGCTGTACATGAAATCAAATACCTCAGATTTATTATCCGAATAGGTGACGGCATTAGTATTGATCCCGACAAAGTTGCAGCTATCAAGCAATGGGAAACTCCAAACAACGCCAGCACTGTCCGCTCGTTCCTTGGTTTTGTCAATTTCTATAGGGAGTTCATTCCCCTCTTTGCCACCATTGCCGCGCCTCTTAATCGCCTGACTAGGCATGGCGCACCATTTATCTGGGGAAAAGATGAGAAGAAGGCATTCCGAACACTCTAGGACCACCTTACTAGCGCCTCATTACTTATGATATTCGACCCTGATCTCGAGACAATCCTCAAATCAGACGCATCCGGGTATGCTATCGGCGCTACCCTCTCCCAGACCGATACCTAAGGACGCCTTCACCCGATTGTCTTTTTCTCTTACAAGCTAATACCAGCAGAAGCGAACTACGAGATACGACAAGGAACTGCTCTCTATTGTTGCCGCCATAGTCCACTTCAAGAGTGAACTACGTAGTGTCGCAACAAAGTTCTCTGTGCTTTCAGATCATAAGAACCTGCGCCATTTCATGACAGTCCAGAGACTTACAGAACGCCAAGTCCGGTGGTCAGAAATCCTCTCCTAGTACAATTTTTAGTTTATTTTCAGAGCAGGAAAAGACTCCAGGAAGCCAGATTCCCTGTCCCGCCGTCCCCAAGACCGTATCAGAAAACATGACGAACGTCTCAGGAATAGAGAGTTCCAGCTGATCAAGGAAACCTGGTTGCTACCATGCACCGAACATTCTCATGACGCCGCCGATATTCACGCTATTACTGTGGCCCCAGTGAACACAAGGTCCGGATAACGGATAAGCCCAACAGCCCACGCCAAAGACACTCTAATCATGCAAGACAAGCTGAGCGCGCCACCCCAAGGACAGCACATCTTTACTAGCCCCGAGCTCCAACACCTTTGGGATGAGGCTATAAAGTCTGACCAGACGTACTGCAACATTTATGCTAGTGTTACAAGAGGAGACAGAGCATTACCCCCCGGCCTAGGGATTGACATACAAGCCGTTGACTGTGAGATCGAAGGTCGGGGAGTCCTCTTGTATAGGGGATCAGTCTGGATACCTGACCATGAGCCCCTCAGAACGGCATTAGTACAACAGACGCACGACTCGCATATCACAGGACACCCGGAAAGGAACATCACAAGATGGATCTTGTAACGAAACTATTTCTGGCCTCAGCAATATAAGACAGTACAACGCTTCTACAGGAACTGTAATGTCTGCGACAGGTCTAAAGTCTGGTGCCAGACGAAGCAAGGACTTTTATGCCCGTTGCCTATACCAGACTGCTTCTTTAGCGAACTTTCTATCGATTTCATGACAGAGCTACTAGGAGAGGGGAACGCCCCACGCAACATGATGGTAATGGTCGATAGAGCGTTAGGTATAGTTACGCTCGAACCACAAGACTCTATGGAAGCCGAAGCCTGCGCCAAGAAATTCGTCTGAAACCACTTCCGCTTTCATGACTTTCCAAACTTCATCACGTCGGACAGAGGGAGCAACTGGGTAGGGAGGTTCTGGACTACATTCTGCCAGCTGATTTGGGTCGAGCAACGCCTTTCAACAGCCTATCATCCTCAGACAGACGGTCAGACAGAACGCATGAATCAAGAAGTTCTTGCTTATCTCCGCGCTTTTGTGGCCTACGCACAAGACGACTGGCCCCAAACTCCTACCCACAGCACAACTTGCCATCAACAACAGACCCAACGCAAAGACGGGTTTCAGCCCCTTCTTTGTGCTGCATGGTTATCACGCCGACACCATCTAATAACAACCTTTTCGCCGCTCTAAGACATCAAAAGACCCCAAAGCAAAAGCAGAAGAGTTTGTCACGCGCCTTCATGAGGCCCAAGAGATGGCTCAGGCTGTAATGGCCACAGCGCAGCAGATAATAGAGCACCATGCCAACCAAGGCCGACGCCCAGCAGAAAGATTCCGGACGGGCGACAAAGTATGGTTTAACCTCAAAAATGTCTCGACTCCACAATTGAAGAAGAAGCTCGCCTGGACACACGCCAAATATGAGATCACCAAAATGATATCTCCTGATGTCTATGAACTAAACGTCCCGGGCAATATTAAGAAATGTTTCTTTGTTGACTTATTACGACGTGCTACAGAGGATCCCTTCCTATCTCAAAAGGTCAATGACACACAACCACCTCCACTTCTTGACGGCCTTGACCCCTTATGATCAGTCAAGAGAATCCTCAGCGCCCAGAAATTTGGAAACAAACGGAAAGTCTTGATAAAATGGACAGAATATATCGAGCCAACTTGAGAACCTCGCGAGAATCTCACACTGACAGACGCGTTCAAGAAATTTGTACACAAATATAGCAAGGGTGACAACATAAGAGAAGACAACGTCGGGCGTACACAGGTTCAACGGGCAAGAAAAAGAAAGGGAGAAAAGCTCGGCCTAGAGCATGACAAGGCCCTGCCTTAAGGAAGAAGGAGGGTGATGTTACGGTATTACGTAATACCTCCATATATCTTTGTATATATATATCCTATCTTTCCCTTTCTTTTTCTTACCTTGTCTCTTCTTTCTTAGATATTATTGAATCTAGATATTTCATCCCATCAGCCCTGACCAGCGCAGCTGCAGGCCTGATTGTCACACTTCTGGTCAGAGGGACGATTCAAACGGCTACAAGGTCCAGTGATAAGAGTCACTCACATCATAATTGCCCATAAAGGCTTCTCGAAGTAGGGGCAGCGAATGCAGATGATTGTCTTGTGGAGATTCCACGTTTTGTCGCCGCATATCACCTTGACATCGGAGAGGATGCCCGAGATGAGGAGACTGGCGCGTGTCAGTGAGAGCCTGCAGAAGGGTCGACCGCCAGGTGATGAACTACCGTTCGTCGCAGTTCGAGTAGATATTGGGCTTCTCCTCCTTGTCGGCCATCTCGGAAGAGTGCATCTAGGATTCAGGACGCCGTGGTTGGAAGAAGAAATTTGTTCTGGTGAAGCAGCTAAATGGTAGGTGGGGATGTGTTGGCTGTGGAGGTGTGCGATGAGAGACGGGATGTGGCGGATGGTGGATGGTGACTGCCTTGCCCGGCAATTCCAGCACCACCGCACCTTCCTCGAGTCGTTGTACTGTGAGTACCCGATATCCTTGCGACGGGAGGACGATGAATTATCCCAACTGTACATTTTCTACATCAGCTACGCCATCAACAACAACAGTCCCTGCAGAGCTCTTGCCACTATATGACCAGACTCAAACACAGCAGCTCTTGCAGCAGCATCAACGACTCGTAGTATCTCATTGGCCTCAGTAAGGGTACCCGCATGGCCTTCTACTGACTTGCGACCCGCCCATTTGCTGCAAGCTTCACGAGTTCCTGGCGCCTCTTTCAGATCAGGGGCGATATCCAGCCCGAGCGCCGCTCTCGGAAAGAAATCTGTTGAATGGGAGCCGGAGATAGACACCGGAAGATCTCCAGTGGGGCAGAGACGCACAGGGCATCTGACCCACCAAGAAGACAGATGATCAATCTCTGCACGCAGAGCAGAACAATCAATAGAATCAATCAACATCCGTGTATTCAACATTATAAGTCGTCGTTTTGTTAACCTAGTTTTGTTAAGGTTTTTAAATATTGCTTTAAGTTTTCTTTTAAAATAGCGATAGCTTTAAAAGACATTATTAGTTTTGTTCTCTCTTTTATCTTTATTCTTATTAAAATAGTTCCTTATAGTTAGTTTAAACCATTTTAAGGCATTGCTTTTAAGGAATTCTGCTATATAAAGCACTTTATCTAGTTTTGTGAGATTTCTAGAAGGGTCACAAGCCTTGGGGGTGTGAGCAGTCGCTGCAAATGTTGTTGTCATTCTCAAGTATGCTTGGCAGGGCTAATCTACAGTTAAATACCATACTGCACCATGCCAGGGTGGTGTGACGGTCCTGACGCCCATCAGAGTGGTTAGTGGGTCAGTTGCCGTGCCCCACCACACAACTTGTTGATTATGTAATCTGTGGGTCAGAAAGAAAGGTCTTCTTGGCCACCAGATTAGCTGGTGCCCTCGACCTTTTCCTTTTTCTTTCCCACTGAAAGATTCTTCTGCGTAGATAGTATAAGCAGGGCTATTACGTCCTTTCCTTACTTTGCGTATTGTGACACCCTTGCTGTCTTTGGTTGTTGTTTCCTTTACCAGGTCCTCTGCCTCTTGTGTCTGATCGTTCTTGAGGATGCTCCTTTTCTCCCTTGTCTCCAATTGAATCTCTTGTATCGTCAGGCTGTTCTCCATGAAGGGCTAGGAAACCGCTTTCCATCTCTTTAAAGGATTGGTAATGGCGTGCGTTGTTTTTTAGTCATTGTGGACGTCAGAGGCTATCTGAGAATACGAAATACTGCCTTTAAGCACTCCTTCCTTCTTGTTTGCCCTGGCTTGAGAAGACCAATTGGAGTTCATCAAGGCAACAGCGACTATAAAGTCGTTAAACCAGGTTGCTGGAGATAGAGCCTCAGGAATCCTGGCTTTTATAGCCCTGGCTATAACCAACTCCCACTCTTCTATCCAGCTAACAAAATCCTTCTCTTTCTTCTTCTTTACCCCCTTGTTAACCGTTGATATAATGGCACGGTAGTCGACTTGGGCCTGGTGCATGATGTTCTCACTGTAGATGGCTCCTTTAGTTGCGAGCTCTTTGTACCACTAAGCAGAGGTTTTGTTCAGGAAGTAGTTTGGTCTCCTGTATGGTAGGATCGACGGTTTCGATAGTCCACTTGGTAAGTTCGGATATGGAGGTCTTGGTTTGCTGATAGATTTTGTCTTTGTGCTCAAATAGGGCGATATTCATCTTGAAGTCAGCTGCTCCTTCTGTTGTAAGGTGTGAAACGAGGACTCGTCCCTCTTCCACTGCTGTTTGAGCAGTTCTGGTAGACTTCTTTGAATACTCTTCTGATAGGATATCCGGAGACGTTGGTGCTGTTGGTCATGGAGTAGTTACTCCTGGCTCGATATGTTGCCAGATGCTGAGTGCTTCAGTCCTTTTCTGAAATTGAAGTCACTAGCTGACAAAGTCCTTTTGAGACTGATAGTACGCAGTTGCATTCTGGGTTGGAATTGTGATATTCATCTTGAAACGGTTGTATGATACGTGTATTCGAAATATGGATGCCGGTTGCGTAGATTCAATGAGACTCTTTCTTAATTGTTGAATACACGGATGTTGATTGATTTTGTTGATTGTGTTCTTCTCTACGTACAGAGATTGATCATCTGTCTTCTTGGTGGGTCAGATGCCCTGTGCGTCTCTGTCTCATTGGAGATCTTCCGGTGTCTATCTCCGGCTCCCATTTAACAGCCAAGATAGGTATCAATCTAACATTGTTTCAGTGCTTCCTAGGTTTCCTTGGCAGACAGGTTGGGGAGGAATTGGACTGCCTGGAACGCTGTAGCGGCGTCAACACAGTGAAGGACAGGTTTGGTGTCCAAGTACATAACGTCAATAATGACTTTGTAGTTAAAATCAACATCCTTCTTGATGGAAAACTTGAACCGCTGTGGTGACGGGCCTTTGATCTGGCAGTGATGGCAAAACTTGTTGATCATTGCAATAACATCTTGATCAGCTTCATTGCCAGATTTCTCCAGAAGCTTGTAAAGCTTGCTGATAGAGGGGTGTCTAAATTGGTTATAAACACATTGTAACTCAGCTTTTGTCAGGGAAATACCGGTTGATGCGGTTTTCATTGCTGAGGGGAAGAACCAGGGGTGGTCCCATTTGCGGGTGATTAGGATGGACTTGCCATCTCGCAGTCGGATCATCCTATTTGCAATATTGTCAAACATTATGCCAAGGTTATCAAAGTCTTTCAGACAGAGAAGGAAGGGAGTCTGGGTATCAACGACGTGGAACATCACATCTCAAATGGGGGTGTCAACATAGATTGTGCCGAGAGAATCTAGAGGTTTTCCTCCATTAAATCGAACTGTAGCTTCTTCAATGCGTGATTTATCGAGTGAAACTGAAGGTAGTTCCCGCTATAGGGCTAGAAACTGACCCTTGCCGGCTGTTGAAATAGAAGTAACGCTAGAATCAGGCATAATTCCCTGGAATGTAGAACTGGCGTATCTGTCCAGTATAAAGCTGTCAGACTCAAATCCAACCTTAAAGTTGTCCGTGGCAGTAATTGAATATTAGAATGCTCGGTCACTGAGTAAGGTGGCTGTAAGGTACTGCACAGTATCGTTGCTGCTGTCGCTTCCAGAATCCATGACGTGTTGATCATGCGTGTCATCAGTGTTGGAGTTAAGATCTGGCTTGTAATCGGCCAGGAAGTGAATGTAGGTAGGGCCTGTGGTCGGTCGTCCACGGAATTGTTGATTATATTGCCATTTCTCTTTTGATTTCTGCTGTTTTCATAAAGAATGCTTCCATGATCGACAGTCAGAGTCACTACAGATATAACAACGTCTGGTAACATTGCTATTTCATTTATTATATTGCTTGTCTTTCTGCTGATGAAACTTGCGGTCAGTAAAGTACTGATTAGCTGTACGCTGGGCGCTGTTAGCTGAGTCTTCAGAGGACTGGAGTGATTGTAAGAGGTTTAAAGCAAGAGCTTCAAACGTGTATGAAGGAGTGAATAAGGCGTAGTTGAGTTCTTTGATACTACGACAGGCGCATTCCACAGCAGCAATCAGCTGTGTCTCGCCTAGGTATGATGGGCTAAGGGTACCTTGACAAAGTTGCAATTTGTTAAAATTGTTTTGTTTGTTTTGTATTTAACGTGGGGGTAGCTCCTCAGTAGTGCAAACCACGCCTCCCAGAGCCTCTGCATCGCAGGGTTGTGGAGGTCTCAAGATAATAAGTACAGTCAGTCCCGCTCACGGGCCCATCCCCGTTGTTGCGGCGGTATGACCTTGGGGTCATCCATCTGGTCCTTCAAGAACAGCTATCTATCGGAGACAGATTGTTGAAAAGAACTTGCTCTTCTCCACGAATTTTGCCCATTCTGTGCTCCTCTCCCCTAAGTATTGTAAACAGGCTGTCCTAGGCGAATGCCTAGGCAGTAGCCGATTTTTCCCCAGCCTCTTACAAAAGAAAATGTGTTGTGGTGTTTTCTTCTCACCACAGCTGCAGTGATCATTTGAGTCTGTGTGCCCAAAGCGTTCATGGTATCTGGCAAAGTCGCCATGTCCAGATCTGGCCGCTAGAAGTCTGTGTAAAGTACTCCTCTTAAAAGATATAAGGTCTCTTTCAGTTACTGCATGTGAATATACTTCTTGATACCTAGATTCTGATTGGTCTTTCCACCATTGGTTGAACTCTTTCTTGCCCTGTCTTTTGAGATCTCTCTTGACCTAAGAGATTATAGGAAGATTTATTGTGTCTGTTTCCAGCATGGCATCCTCTTTTGCTAGTGTGTTGGCAGCTTCGTTGCCATCAATATCTCTGTGTCCAGGAATCCATTTGACGGTCACTCCAGGAGTGTGTGCTGTGGTAAGTTCTTGAAATCGTAGAAAAATGTTTTGTGATGTCTCGGGTGGAGTCCCATTGAGCCCATCTACCACTGACGTGTTGTCCAGGCAGACATATAGCTGTTTTCCGTGTCCAATTGCCCTGGCTGCTGCAAGACCTTGGAGAGCACCATGGACTTCAGCATCTACTACTTCTGCTTGTAGAAGTCTGCCCCTTCCCCGGTATACTTCTTGTGTAGTGCCGCCTTTCCTGATGGTATAACCCCATCCAGTGCGGATTGTGCCTTGGTCATCCAACTGTGATCCATCTGAGTAGATGACAAGGTCAGTGTTCACGTTTCTCTCTTGTAACCATTGCTTGAAGAGCTCTGTTTCTTTGTCTTTGTCTTTGCGGATTGGGCACTTCTTCCATGATGGCCTGGTAAGTATTGGTCTCTAGAAGTCAGGGACTAGCTGGAAGCTCCTTTGTAG